ACCTTTCTCAACACACTCCAACACCTCTTCTTCCATACTTCGGTCTCTCTCTTTCCTCACATACAAATTTGCATCTAACTCCCATCTGCCTCTTTCACCTCATTTCCCTCCCATCCTCATTCACCATCATTCACCACGCGCAACATCTCAACCTTCTCTCCATATACTTTCTTCAAAAAAAAAAAAAAAAAAACACCTTGTACACTTTTTATCCTCCTCTTTAAGCACGGCCTTTGCCTGCCATAAAATATTTTTCCCTCTTTGTTCCATAAATGCATTCAGTCTCTCCCTTGCTCCCTCCATCTCACATTTCACATCTTCTCCCAGCATCCTCAACCTCTTTTGCCACAACTCACCTCATACCCCACTTTCTTTTTTAGCTTTCTCACATCCTTTTTTTTTTAGCAAAAAAAAAAAAAATTTGTCCTCACCTTCACTCACTCCCACCATATCTTCAAAATTCCTAATTCTCCTTTTCCATTTATCAAACAGACCCACATATTCACTCGTTATTTCCTCATTCTCCAACAAACTTATATTTAGTTTCCACATCCCTTTCCCATACAGACCTTTTTTGTGCTTACAACACATTCGATCCGTCCATGATCCGTGAAAAGCTCCTTCTTTACCTCAAACAAATCTACATTCAAACATTTTGAAACAAAACAAATATCAATACACGAACATACTTTCCCACTATCTCCAAAATATGTACATCCCCATTCTTCAAACTAAACATATGCACCACTTTCCCAGGTATAGCAACTTCCTCCACCCCCATGTCTGTCTTTTTTCTCCAAAATATAGTTGAAATCCCCCACCAGTAATGTGGGTTTCCTCCCTCCAAGAAAAAAAATCCCCCACCAGTAATGTGGGTTTCCTCCCTCCAAGAAAAAAAAAAACTTAATTTTCTATTTCATTTTTATTTGTGCTAGCATACACCACAAACACCTTCCACACCACACCACTCCACATAAACCAACACACCGACCCACCACCACATGAAAAACTTTAACTTTAAAAGTTTTATTTTTAAATAACACCCCCACCCCCCCCTATTTCATTCTTTACTTAATGACCGTACTCAGAAGTCCCAGGCACTTCATCCATGTTGCAGTCCTGCAAAAGAAAAATGTCATTTTGTGATGCAGCCAAAAGCTTTAAAACTGCAGCTCTTCTGTAGGCCGAGCGGATGCTCCTCACATTTAGTCAACAAACCCTCAGCCGCACCATACAGTTTTAACTAGGCAGGTTCAAAAAATACAGGTGTCATCTGCTTCAGGGTAATTTACCTCTGGACCTTGTTGTCTTACTTGTTCTGGCAGGCTCCTCTGTTTTTACACCTCTCATGGAGGGTTCAGGCTTTTTTAACTTTGCTTTGCCAGGCTTGCGGAACCCCATCACTTCCTGGAAGTTCTCCACCTGTCCAGAACTGGCAAACGACTTCATGGATGAGTCTGACTCCTCCGCCAGCACAGCACTTCCAGGCTCCTCACTACTCGACCACTCCTCAATCTTTGCAGAGGGGGAAGGGGATTCTTCCTCTTAACCTCCCTGGCGGTATTCCCGAGTGTAGCTCGGGGTAAAGTTTCAGTACCACAAGCGGTAACCCCGAGCTACACTTGGGCTTACCATGCGGCGCTGTTCTGCGATCCCTCGATCACTTACCTTGTCCTGTGCTCCCGTGATGTCCCCCCTGCAGTGTCCCCAGCCATCTCCTCCGGCAGATGCCGGCATCTGTCTTCTGGGTTCCATCCCCTGCGGCGTCGGGACGTACGGGGGACGGAACGGCTGGAAATTTGAAAATGACAAAAAGTGAAGTCACTAAAATCACATAGTAAAACATTCCTGTATCAAACCATTTCACATACATTTTGTCCCGAGTGCTTTGTCCGGCGCCCTGCCTGCATTTTTACTGTTCTTATTGCCTGCAAACTGAGAAACGTCCATGGCGTCCAAAAAGCGTCCCTTTAGGTCAAAAGCGGTTTTGGACCGGCTAGAGAACAGCGATAGTAAATCAGACCCACTTGCAGAATTGAGTGATAATGATTCGTGGGGGAAATTCCTCATCAGACACTGAAAACAATTTTGCGACTTTGCTCAGTGATGTGCGAACTTGGCGGTATATTTAAAATTTCAGTGTTTTTGGTTTGATTATATTATTGAATTAAATTTATTATTATTTTTTACGATTATTTATTAAATTATAATTTATGATTTCGTGTTTCAAGTTTTATCATACCCGGAATGTTTACTAGACTCTTGTTTGGACAGATTTCAGTGAGTTATTCCTAAGAATTACAGGCCTACAATATAAACGCCAAATTTCCATTCAAAATAATGGTACCGCTTTCAGCACCAAAAATCCGAAATAATCATACCGCCAGGGAGGTTAAGGGATGAACTTTGGTCCATCTCTTCCACAGCTTCCTCCTGATGGCCTTTAGCCTCCTCCTTTCCCTCTGCAGCCAGAACCTCAGGGACACAACCCTCGGATGGAGAAATAGCCCCCTCTTCTGCAGCTGCTTCACCGGGAGGATCCAGAGAGGCAATCTCCACAACTGGGGTAGTCACATTGGGAACCACACCCTGTACCACATCAGCAGAGGAGACCCGTGCCTGCTGCACCCCCAAGGTCTCGCTGATACCACCATCTTTTACCACATCTGAGTTTTCCACCCTTTCTTGTGCCACCTTAGGGTACTGTCTTGCCAGGTGTAGCCCACTGCCACAGATATGGCATTGCCACCCAACGGGACACTCCGCTATTTTGTGCTCCGCTTTATAGCAGTTTCGGCAAACCTGCCCAGTTGTACATGCATCTTTAGTGTGTACTAAGGCAAAACAGATCCTGCAAAACAAAGGCTGACTGGGGTACCATAGGTAACCAGGATTGCTCCCTATGGAGAAAGCCTGCAGGGGGGTCCCTCACCCCCCCCCCCAATCCCTTCATGGTCAGCCTTAAACTACACCCAGAGCTTCCTATGGCCATTGGATGTACTGAAAACATTGGTCAGACACAAAATCACAGTACGTTAACAGGAAGGGCCAAACTTCCTCATCTCACACAAATGGATTGTACATGTGTACCATGATAGGGACCCGCTGCTTGCTCTCAGTGCACCGAAAAGAGATGCCCTCCAGCAGCGGGTCCTCCTCCTTCTCGCCCTTCCGAAGCAAACATGTCTGCAGGTCCTCCTTCTTCCAGAAAGGAATGTCAAACAGTCCAGTCGCCGGGAAACACTGCATGCAAAAAAATGCTTTCTCGCAACATTCCAAAAAGACCCTCGATCAGCTTCTTCTGCACAAAATGAAGACCACGACCAGCCTCAAAGTATTGGGAGCATCTGGCATGGCAGAGCCCATCCTTCCGCCCTAAACTTATCACCGACCACCAAGGTGACAGGGTAAGGGACCACTCATTGACCTCAGGCAGTGTCCCAACCAATAGCAGCATTGGGGTGCACCCAAAGGAAACACCCCTGAGCGGGACTGGTGCCATCGGAAACCTAATGACCACGACACAAAATCACAGCCAAAAGGCTAACAAACAAGAATTGGCACCAATTGTTACCTACGGCCAAGACCAGATACAAGCACACTGACCTTAGCCAAAAAAACATTTTGTTTGGCATATGGGATGGGGGCATATGGGGCACATTTTGTTTGGCATACGGGGTTGTTGTATTCCTTTTGTTGTTGTAACATTAGGAAGAGTATTCTGATGCAAAGGACCATGGCCACCCTAATTTGCATACCAAGACTCAGATAGGTTCTTTTTTTTTTTATTATTATTTTTTTTCCCACCAAACCAAACCTTAAGGACTTGGAGAGGATCTGCCAAGAGTAGTGGGCCAAAATCCCTCCTGAGATGTGTGCAAACCTGGTGGCCAGCTACAGGAAACATCTGACCTCTGTGATTGCCAACAAGGGATTTGCCACCAAGTACTAAGTCATGTTTTGTGAATGGAATTAAATACTTATTTCCCTCATGAACATGCAAATCAGTGTATAAATTTGTTAGACATGCATTTATTTTGAATTTTTTGTTGCTATTCTATCTGTGTTACAATACACCTACCATTCGATTTTTTGATTGATCATTTCTTTGTGAGTGGGCAAACATTCAAAATCAGCAGGGGATCAAATAAGCATTTCCTTCATTGTATATTACAGACCATTGTACACTAGGATAGTGCAACATAGACCATGGTACAATAGGATAGTGCAGCACTAGCATATAAATAAAAAAAAAAAAATGGTAGGAGGTTCTAGCCCCTCATCTCTAAAATAAACCTTCTGACCGGAGTTGGGCTTTAAAAACCTCACTTGGTTTCCCACTGGTGCTGTAGTGCCATAAAAGGGTGCCACTGGAGAGCTGTTCATGTTCTAAAAAACAGATATGGGTTTAAAACATTTAAATATTTCTAAATAAAATCATTTATTCACAGACACATTCCTTCTATTTTAATTCTCTTTTATTATTTATGATTAATGAATGTATTTTGCCCAAAGGTCTTTAGTAGCAGTCATCATTTAACATATCTGTCTCACAATAGCTTCATTGCCAATAAAGTGGTGTTACAGTTAAATGTTTTATTGCTTCTGCATGTTGTGTGGAAACATTTTATGAAACTCGTAGAGAACTACATAAGGCATATAAATATTTCATGGCTGCTCTCCCAATTTGGCTTTGTTCAGACAGCCTCTGCTGTCTAAAAATAATTAAAGTGTCTGATTTTTTTGTCTTTCAGAAATTAAGCAGATTACAACCCCGAAGGACAGTTAAACACCGTTGATACTTCTCCAAGACCACAGCCTGCTTCCCAGTCGGACAAGTCTTCCAGTGCTGGCTTAGCCTAATATGCACAGCTGGTGCTCAGATCCTGGAACCACTAGGTTAATTTGGTGCAAACTTGGAACATGCAGTGAGCTATTGACTGTAGAGTCTTAAACCTAATTTGCTGTTTGTCATTTGCCAAGATTGGAGAGGAAGGAACATGGAGAATGTCTCTTTGTTGAGCATTCCCAATGCTTCCTATGACCTGTCCGGGCTCGGTAGCTATTATGGAAATTCTAATTCTGAAACACATTTTCCTACCAATGACTTGTCACCAAATTTCTACATCATTCTCCCAGTGATCTACTCAGTCATTTGTGTGGGTTGGATTAACTGGAAACACAGCGGTCATCTATGTCATTCTCAAAGCCCCCAAGATGAAAACGGTCACCAACCTCTTTATCCTAAACCTGGCAATTGCTGATGACTTATTTACTCTTGTCCTTCCCATCAACATTGCTGAGATTCTTCTTCATTATTGGCCTTTTGGTGTTGTCCTTTGTAAGATTATCTTGTCCATAGATCTTTACAACATCTTCTCCAGCATTTTCTTTCTAACTGTCATGAGCATAGACCGCTACCTGGTCGTATTGGCCACTGTAAGGTCCAAGAGGATGCCCTACCGTACCTATCGAGGAGCCAAAATTGTAAGTCTTCTTGTTTGGGTCTTGGTCATTCTTATTGTGTTGCCTTTTACCATTTTTGCTGGAGTCTACATGGACAATATGGAGTTTAAGAGCTGTGGACTGAATTTCCCCAAACCAGAAAAACTATGGTTCAAGGCGAGTCGTATCTACACCCTAATGTTGGGATTTGCCATTCCAGTTTCCACCATCTGTATCTTATACATGCTTATGTTGTACAAACTAAGGAATATGAGGTTAAATTCCAATGGCAAGGCCTTGGACAAGGCCAAAAAAAGGGTTACCGTCATGGTCTTTGTTGTTGTAGCGGTTTGTCTTTTTTGTTGGACACCTTTTCACCTAGCTACCATAGTGTCTCTGACCACAGATTTGCAGGAGACCTCTGTAGTTATTGGCATCTCTTACTTTATCACAAGTCTGAGCTACGCCAACTCTTGTCTCAACCCATTCCTATACGCCTTCTTAGATGACAGTTTCCGCAAAAGCTTTCGAAAGATGCTGGAGTGTAGAACAACTTGAAGTTCATGAGATCATAGCATCTTCTAAACCATGGTAAACATTGTGTATTTCCTAACCACTCAAACTGCTGATACCTAGTAAAAAAAATGTCCTCAAGGAATAAAAAGAAATGGGAACTTTTTGGATTTAGAACTAGGACTTGCTGAACAAGATGTGGCACCTAAATTCAAGATGGAAAACGTGGCCTAAATGCCTACAGTTTACTGACCACACCTTACTGTGTCTAAGAAACACTAAAGGCCCTTTACCAGCCAGTGGCCTCAGGTAGTTGCCTTCATCGCATTATCCTTGACCTGTTCCGATTTCACTGAATGGAGGATATTGGGACTACTTAATTTTTTTTTTTTTTTTTTTTTTTTGAAAGGCACAGACCTTTTCCATGTTCTGTAGCTTTAATATTTATGTAAAAACAGGTCTACATAGCAAAATATGGTTTTAGTCTTTGTAAGTCTCAGCCACCCAATAAAGTCATCTTTATTTACATAAAATTGTATTTCTTTGTTTTCTAAAAGTGCATGAATGAGTTTCACATGGTATAAATCAGTGGTCTCCAAGCTGCGGCCCTTTGGTTGCCTTTATCCAGACCTTGGGGCACTATTCATCCCACTGACACCAACAATGGGGCACTATTCATCCCACAGACACCAACAATTTGGCACTATTTCTGCAACGGATGCCAACAACGGGGCACTATTTTTCCCACTGACACCAATGATGGGGCACTATTCCTCTTACTGGCAACAATGGGGCACTATTCCTTCCATTGCTGCCACAATTTGACACTATTCCTTCCAAGGACACCAACAATGAGGCACTATTCCTCTCACTGACGCCTGTGATGGTGCACTATTCCTCTTACTGACACCAACAATGGGAAACTATTCCTCCCACTGACACCAACAATTTGGCACTATTCCTCCAACTGACACCAGTGATGGTGCACTATTCCTCTTACTGACACCAACAATGGGAAACTATTCCTCCCACTGACACCAACAATTTGGCACTATTCCTCCAACTGACACCAGTGATGGGGCACTATTCCTTCCACTGATGTAAACAATGGGACACTATTCCTTCCACTGACACGAGCAACGGGGCACTATTCCTCTCACTGACACCAATGATGGGGCACTATTCCTCTCACTGACACCAATGATGGGACAGTATTCCTCCCACTGATACCAATGATGGGGCACTATTCCTCTCACTGACTGACACCAATGATGGGGCACTATTCCTCTCACTGACACCAATGATGGGGCACTATTCCTCTCACTGAACCAATGATGGGGCACTATTCACCATGATGGGGCACTATTCATCCCACTGAGACCAACAACAGGGCACTGTTCCTAAAACTAACACTGGGGATGTGGCTTTATTTCGCCCACTGATAACTAAAACTGGCACTAATTCTCTCAACAATACCAACAAAGGGACACTATTCCATCTCCTACTGACCAAAGTCATCATGTCATTTATTTACTCCCAATGACAATAAAACCTGAGGCATTGTTTACTCCCACATACTTCGTGGCATTTTCTACTTCCAATGGTCAAAGTCCAGGCCTCTTAAAGTCTGAAGGACAGTAAACCAGCCCTTTGTTTGGAAAGTTTGGAGATCCCTGGTATATACGTTAGAGCTATGGGCCATATTCTTACAAGGATTTAAAACAATCACATTTTTGTGCGGTCTGTTCACTAGCAGTATGATAGCAATCAGACAGAAAATTAACAGGTCATGTAGTTGAAATCTAACAACAAAAATAACTAGTATTAGGCTAATGTCCACCTAGAAAACTTTCATAACCTCATCCCACTTCATTCGATGTCCATGACTGGGAGGGGACCCGAAAAAACAAAAAAAAAACAAACAAAAAAAACAAAAACTTGCCCAGGTCCCTAGGACAGGAAATTGGCTTGGCTTGTAGAGGAAACCATGACTTTGATCTATTACACTGTGGAGTTGTATGGAATCAAGACTGAACAAGCTGAGCTTAGAAGCCGATTGGTTTCTATGCAGAAATGAGTCTGATTTTCCACTCTGCAGCTTTAGTAAATAACTCCCTAAATGTCATTTCTGTCTGTTGCCTCCTTCCTCTGCTACCTGCATGAGTCACTTCTGACAAGTTTTCCTGACACCAAGAGATAAAAGGTGACAGGGGAGGGACCTCCAGCAGATTGACGGCTTTAGCTCTGTACCTGTGAGCTGTGTAGAGGGGGGGGGGGGGTCTCTTTCTTCCCTCCAATCAGCTCTCAGAATTCTCATTGAACTCTGAGGAGTGCAATTTCAGCTCCCCGTCCCCTTTTTTCTGAACTCTCAGACAAGCTTTATAAATTCTGCACTTTGAATGCAGAGAAGAGACGACTACAGATAAACAGGTACAACTTTGTGTATCACCTGAGGCTAGTCACTTCACTAGGTAGATGTAACGGTTTACAGCCATTTTAAACATGAAACCAATTCTGGGTATAACTCTAAGGACTTTTTAAAATACTCGATGGAGAAGGGAGGGGTTAGAACCTTTGAACCTCTGGTTCATCCCAGGAGCGGACTGACAACTCATGGGGCCCCCAGTCAATAGGGGATCATGGGGCCCGTGTCCTTGCCCAAACTCAAAAAAGCCTATGAATAAGGTACCAGGGGCATCTCATGGGGCCCCCTACTGACCCCGGGCCCTCGGGCAGTGCACGAGTTTCCAAATGGTCAGTCTGCCCCTGGTTCATCCTATTTGTTTTTCCCAGTGACCACTATCAGACAGACAGAAAATGACATATTTCTAAGCAAGTGTAAACAAGCCCTTCCTGTTCTGCCTCAGGAACAGGAAGTGAAGGGAAATCTCCCCAATGGGATAAAGACAGTAAAACATAACTCTAAAAACATAAATCTAACATAGGTTCTAATCCCTCCTTACTCTATCCAAAACTTTTAGCTGAGGATACACTTTAAAGGATAAGTTCACATTTGGGAACATGGTACACCTTTCGCCCATTTTTAGGGTGGAACATGTAACATGCTCCCACCACTGCAGACTCTGCCCAATCCTCCCCCCACCCCATGACAGCAGTATGGGAAGAAGTTCCCTATAGCAGCTATCAGTTCTTGAAAACAGCACGACTGTGCGGGGCTTCGACCACATGGCCGTCATTCATTCATGTTGAGTCCTGTGGTAGTTCATTGAGTCTGTCAGACTGTATTGGCTTGCCCATATGGGATGTACAGGCACACAAATACACTGACAGTTTGCAGGAGTCCTGCATGGCACCTGGACTGCAAAAAAAATACACACTTTTTTTACTTGAAAAAAAAGGGCATTCAATATTTTTTTTAACAGATTTCCCGCCATCCTATAGTAGAACTAATGCTAAAGGGCGACAGGGCTGTACAAAATCATGTATATATATGTGATTTGCCCTTTCCGGGTAGGGCGTGCATGCACGCTGCCCTACCCACGCCGCCATTGGCTGCTAGGGATATCAATCACTGGGTCCTGGCTGGAGATTCCCCGCCGGCACCCGGCGATTGCCGTGTAAAGCAGACGGGTGAGTGACCTGTGTGTAAACACCACAGGTGTCTCTCCTGCCAGCAAGGACATGCAGAGAAATACAAAGCAGCATGTCTCCCTAGTAAAACACACACAGCACATCATGTAAAACAGCACACAGTTAACCCTTTGATCACCCCAGATGTTAACCCCTTCCTGCCCAGTGTCATTAGTACAGTGTCAGTGCTTTTTATTAGCACTGATCACTGTATTAGTGTCATTGGGATGTCAGTGGCAGTTAGTCAGTTCCCACCCAGTGTCAGAATGCCCGCCGCAGTCCTTCTTCCCCCAGTATATCTACCGCCATTTGTAGACGCTATAACTTTCACGTAAACCATTTAACATTTATATGTATTGGGATTTGTTTTTAGCAAAGACATGTAGCAGAATAAATGTTGGCCTAAATTTATGACAAAATTTGATTTTAACATTTTTTACTGGATATGTTTTATACTAAAAAGTCAAAAATATTGTTTTTTTTTTTAAATGGTCAGTCTTTTTTTGTTTATAGCACAAAAAAAAAACAGAGGGGATCAAATACCACCTAAAAAAAAAAAGGACATAAAATGTAATTTATGTGCAGCATTGCATGACCACGCAATTGACAGTTAAAGTAACGCAGCGCCGTATCACAAAAAATGTCCTGGTCAGGAAGGGGGAGGGGGGGAAATCCTCTGGAGGGCAAATGGTTAAGCACAAGCCCCTATACTGTAACATTGTAGGAAATGCTGCCCGCTTGGCCAGGTTCACTAAAGACTTTGCCAGTCCATTTGCTTTCATTGCTCCCTTAAAGCCTCTCAGAGCCAGAGCCGTACATCCATGTACTTCCACATCCAGCACTTGGGTGTACAAGGACTGAAAAAAAGGTCCAAAATCTCTTGTATCAAACTAAAACACGCAAAACAGCTCTGCAGCTATGCATATGTTAATGCAAATTCCAATAATCAGTCCGATGATTTAGGAAGGATCACAGTAGGTAAGAACATTCAAGCATCATGTATATGGAAGTGTTTGAATGTCCTCTTCTATTTTTATCACACAGCAATATAAAGCATTATTCCAGAGGATGAGTGGCATGTGCGCTTTACAATTTGTGCTTCTGGCAGGCACCCCTCTGTCCTCACCATGTAGCAGTGCAGCCTTCTATATAGGGGTGACTATAGCTGGTATTTAAATGACAGATTCATCTTTCAGCAAACATTTCTGATCAACCCCCACTGGGCCCAGCATCAAAAATGTATAGAGATGTAGGTACCTTAAAAGCATCTGTACCATAGCATTACCCCCCCCCCCCCCCCCAACCTATCCCGTTCAGCTTGGCTGTCTCCATATAAGCAGAAGCACTGAAACAGAATTTGTATAAGTGAAAGATTAATTAGTTCACCCGCTGTAAGCACAGGAGCTCCATTCTCTTCATTGGAGATGCCCATACACAAGCCACGTACGTGTTTAGGATGAATTCTCATTCTATTGGATGTGAATAGATTTTCTGATCACAGAAATTGGTATGTGACAGCAAAGTAAAAAGGTTCAATTAAAAATAGATCTAAGCCCCATTCACTAAAATTTCAGATAATGTTTCTCACCAAGGCCCATTCACATTCAATGGCTGTGCTAGCCGCTGGGGTTTGGTAGGATGACAGCGACTCATCGCATGGTTTGCTCTTTGTTTTTAAAGTGGTTGTAAACCTCAGACATGAATATGAATAAAGCAAATCCTTTCGTAGTGTGTACTTGTCTCTATCCAGAGCACTAAGTGTCATTTTTTGCCTTCTGCCTTGTTCCTTTGTCACTTCTGATGCGTTTTCCTGACACCAAGAGAAAAATGGTGACAGGGGAGGGACCTCCAAGCTCTCATCCTATATGCTGTGTGAACAGGGGGGTGCACCTTCCCACCAATCAGCTCTCAGAGCTCTCCTCACTGATGTAACTTCAGCTGTCCACCCCCTGCTTTTCAGAGCTGAGAGATTCTGTACTTTGAACAGATGTAGGGAAAGACACCTGAAGATAAACAGCTACAACGTTACGTAAGAGTACTTTTTTCCATCTATGTGTATCACCTGAAGTCAGTCAATTCACTTGGTATATGGAAGGGTTAAACAACAAAAAAAGAAAAATTCCCAGCTCGCCCTAACCGACCAGCCTGCAACCAACCGAATTGTCCTGTCTAATAGTTTGCTATAAAAAACAGGGGTTTAGTTTGCACACATTTGCAAATACATGCGCAAGCTGCACAGCCTCTTTACAGCACCCCAGTATTTTCTGCAGTCTAATAATTTTGAGAGCCTCCATAGGTAGTTTATAGGAGTTCCCCCCCAACAGGCGATAGCCAAGGAACAGTGACAGAGGAGAGGTCCGTATGTAAACAATACCGATCTCTCCCGTCAGCTCCAGCACCCTGCTTTGTATTGGTCTTCACAGCAGACAATATAGTGCTCTTACACAGAAAAACACACACAAAGCACACAGTTAACCCTTTGATCGCCCCATATGTTAATTCCTTCCTGCCCAGCGTTATTAGTACAGTGTCAGTGCTTTTTATTAGCACTGATCACTGTATTGGTGTCACTGGTGAATTGTCAGTGGCAATCAGTCAGTTCCCCCCAGTGTCAGAATGCCCGCCGCAGTCCCACTATAGTCATGATCGCCGCCACGGTTAGTAATATAGATAAATCAAAAATATTCCAAGTATATATGCCGCCATTTGTAAAATGCTAGAACTTTTCACATAAACCAATTAATCTACAAGTATTTTTTTTAGCACAGACATGGAGCAGAAAATACATTTTTGGCCCTACATTTATGACAAAATTTGATTTTTTAAAATTTTTTTTTTACTGGATATATTTAATAGTAAAAAAGTAAAAAAATATATTGTTTTTTTTCAAAGTTCTGGTAAATTTTTTTTGTTTTATGGCGCAAAAAAATAAAAAAAACCGCACAGTGCGATCAAACACCAGCGAAAGAAAGCTCCAGTTGTGGGGGAAAAAAAAAAAAGGACATAAATTTATTTGGGTGCAGCGTTGCATGACTGCGCAATTGTCAGTTAAAGTAACGCAGCGACGTAACGCAAAAATGGCCTGGTCAGGAAGGGGGGGGAAATCCTCAGGAGGGACAAGAGGTTAACGTACGTTTTATTTTCAAAAGTTTTCAATAAAGCTTTTTTAGTTCTAAAATAATACCTGGTGATTCTGGTCATGTAGATCCTTGTTCAGCCATTTCCTGCTCTATAGTGTTATGAAATGATAACTGTCTCCCTGACTGTGCTCCAGTGCTGTAACCCTGTCCAATTGAGGGCCCATATGTGCAGACTTCACAAAAAGCCAATGTGATGACACCACAGGGGAGAAATAAACAAAGAGTGGCAAAAAGCATCAATTTTACCCCACTGTAACCAATATTCATTAGTAAACACCTCATCAGGAATATGGCAGTTCAGTTTTTGGCCACCAATTCATTAAAAAGAAGACATTGGGGAACTGGAGGAAAGTACAGAGAAGGGCAACCAAACTGATAAGAGTGGCAATGGAGGAGTCTCAAGCTATATGAGGAAAGACAACCAAGAGGAACTGAATTTATTTCTCTCTTGAGAAGAGGAGACTAAGGGGGAGTAGTCTCCGTGTATATTACATAAGATATATCTCCATGTATAATACATAAGGGTGGGGGGGTATGATTCCATGTATAATACATAAGGGGGGATTATGATCTCCATGTATAATACATAAGGGGGTGATATGGATATGATATGACTCTCCATGTATAATACATAAAGGGGGATAATGATCTCCACTGTATAATACATTAAGGGGGGGGATATGATCACTGTATAATACATTAAGGGGGATATGATCACCATGTATTGGCAATACATGGGGGGGATATTGATCTCCATGTATAATACATAAGGGGGATATGATCTCTCCATGTATAATACATAAGGGGGCGATATGATCCACCATGTCTAATACATAAGGGGGGAATTGATCTCCCATCGTATAATACAAAAAAGGGGGATATGATCTACCATGATATAATACATAAGGGGGGATATGGATCTCCATGTATAATACATAAGGGGGAATAAGATCTCCATGTATAATACATTAAGGGGGAGATTCATGACTCTCCGAATTGTTATAATACATTAAGGGGGAATATGATCTCCATGTATAAACTACATTGAGGGGGTTATGATTCCATGTATAATACCATAATGGCGGGGATCATGATCTTCCTTGTATAATACATCAAGGGTGGGGGGAATGATCACCATGTATAGATACATCAGGGGGATATGAGGACTCACCAATGTATAATACATAAGGGGGGGATATGATCTACACCAACTGTATACTCATACATAAGGGGGGATATGATCTAACCATGTATAATACAACATAAGGGGTGGATATTTGATCTCCGATGTATAATACAGAAGGGGAAGGATATGATCTCCATTGAAAGAATAATACATAAAGGCGGGGATAATGAATCACTCTATAGGTAATGAATACATACAAAGGGGGCGACATATGATCCCCATCGTATAATACATGAAGGGGGGATTATGATCTCCATGTAAAAAAACACAAGGGGGATTTGATCTCCATGTATAATACATAAGGGGGGGGGGATATGATTCCCTGTATAATTACATAAGGGGGGATATGATCAACCAGCTATAATACAGAAGGGGGATTTGATCACATGTATAATACATAAGAGGGATATGATCAACCATGTATAATACTTTAGGGCGGGATATGATCTCATGTATATTACATAAGGGGGATTA